TCGTACGGAAGTGATTCTTCGTGTGATTTTGTTTAGGAAGATTTTTTATTGGTGTGTGTTTTGGATGTGAAGCAAGACTAATTGTGGTGTGTATTTATAGGCTATAGTTGAGCTAATCGATTTCTTTCTTTCATTTGTTTTTTTTTGGTCTTATGCTAAAGTTGTCTATTTTTAGTTATGTATCCCTTTATTATAGATGGTGGGTATATTTTTTTGCAATTTTTATGCGTAAATTTCTGATTATAATATGGCCTAAATTTTAGTAAATCAGACAAACAGTTTTATAGCCCTTGAAAATGGGGAACTATACGACCTTGTCTGAAAAGCATAGTATATGTACAAAAAAAGAAAATTTCAACCCTCCAAATACGCAGAGTTCATCGACCAACTAGTTACCCTTTATATTATTAGAACAAGAAAATTTGAGTATTAAATACAAGAATTCACATCATATAGAAATGGAAGCTTTATATTGTTCTTCCGTTTGAGTATATTATCAAATTGATGGTTTTATTTGAATCTCAGAAATTTATATCATATGTCACTTACGCATTTCGTCATTAAAGATGACGATGATTATTGATTTTGTTATTGTTATGATAATTAACCAGTAATTAAAAGTGGCAGTTCTGAATATATCTAGAATGGAGAACTAAATAAGCAAATGTATGCATGGAGAACCACTTGTAGTTCGACGGTAACATGATAATGCTCCAATGGTGATATATGTGTATGTTCCAACAGTTTTTTGTGAGTACAATTTAGTGCTGTCTAAAATGATACGGATCTACAAAATATAAAAGGCAAAATATGGGTTGGAATTCTCCTATTTTAAATTTCGTGGCCTGAGAGTGATTCTAGGCGGCATGGGCTGACATGCTCGAGATGCAGTCAGGAATGGAACTATTGTACTATACGTTCTTACTGAAGATCAGGTGGCTGACATGCTCACAAAGACATTCTCTACTAGCCGACACCGATTTCTGTCAGACAAATTGATGCTTGTCACCCGGCATCAATTTGGGGGAGGCTATTGAATATTGTCATTGTGTGTCGTTTTGTAAATAACGTAGTGTAGTATATGCTTAATGGGCCAATTGTATTAAAGACTTATCTCAGCCCATACAGCCTACTCATGTCATTCCCTACGTGCGTGTGGACTAGGGTTGTAGAGATTAGCAGTATATAGGTGCATCTATCTCTCTAATGTAAGGTTACCGAAAAATTGCAGTAAGATCAGTAGTCGAAGAGCGTTCAAGCTCTTCCGTGGATTAGTCCTGGGAAACCGGGGATACCACGTACATCTGTGTCCATTTCCGTTACTGTCTTCGATTTCAACAGAGGTACTATCCTATATACTATGCCCATAGAAAAGGAAGAGGTCCAATTAGACAGACTCACGTAGGAGGGTCATCAAAGACATTAGGTAGGCACACTTTCATCAATTCATATTTCTCCTTTGATTTCGGCCGAACAGAACAAAATCATATAATTCACTCAGAGCTAGCATCCTGATGAGAGAAATTTATAAGTGAATTCAAATTATAAATTCGTGCCTAGACATTTGTAAGATTACTATGTTTGATACTTGTGATTGTATTTGTAAGAATATAGCAGGAAACCAACTTTTTGAATGAAATGTCACATTTACCCATTACCCTTCCTTTTAGATATAAAAGTCAATCACATATAAAAGTTGATAAGGGCATAAAAGAGATGAAAAGTTGACTCACAATCTCAAAACACAATCTCACATGAACAGAGGATTGGTCTAGTGGTAATACCACTAGCCATGAACCTGGAGGTACCAGGTTCGAATCCCTTCAGTAGTACCTAATAACTAAAAAAATAACCTATATCACCCTTATCTAAAAAAAACACAATCTCACCAAATAGATGAGATTCTAAATCATTCATTTTGAATGATTTCAAATGTCACATGCATTGTGTTTTATTTTACAACAAAAAAACACTGCATCCTCTACAATACATGCATTCATTAAATACATCATTTAGATACACACTTACCAAACGACCTCTAAGATGAACCGATTTGGAAGAGGCTGATATATAAATATAGGATAAATGTGGATTAAGGTGGACCAAGATATATACATTTTCTCGAATTTGGTCCAATTAATTTTAAATTTTCTCCTCTATGTGATTTAGTTGAATTTTAAATCTTTAGCCACCACTCGGAGTAGGATTCTTTTCCTAAATACTTTATAAACAATTCAATCTCGTCACTATTTGTCCTTTCAAGTATTCCTTACATGTAACATTTTTTAGGCAGTAATTTCTGAAGTTTCCGCAAAGGAAACACGACGCCTTTTATTTACTATGCTCCCTTACATTTAAATTTTAAACCATACAAAGGAGCCCTGATAACAACTACACTGGTTGCTTTGTCGAGTCGAAATTGAGTGGGCACTAGTACTTGTAGTAATACTACAATCGATGCAATTGTTTACAATTTTGTGTATTAAGTTGTCCCATGAACATTCGTTATTCTCGAAAGTCCTCAAATTCTAGCCTATGGCATGATACAGTAATTAATTTGACACATTGAAATAGTCTTACTCAATAAATATTTCTTGATTCTTACTTCAGTTGTTCATGAGATTTTGTGCGGTAGAACGATATCTAGCGCAGCGATTTATAGAGATAAAAATTAGACACTAGCAATTAATTAAGGGCACAATCACACTTTTGACAAAAAGGACATAATCAACTAATAACACATTACTAGATAACCAACAAAAGTTTATGTTATTCCTAATTATTAATCAAACAATGAAAAACTTAAAAACTAAAACAAAGACCGCTAAATTATTGTTCATGCAGGATCTTAATTTAACCCTTTAACTATACGTGTGAAAAAGATGAGCTCCATCGCGCCAAGCCTCACGTGAACTTCTGTTCGGTACATACTCCCCATGGAGTCGAGACTGTTGCCTTCAGCCACCATCACGTCGAGCTTATAGTTCATGCCGTCCACCACCTGGACAAGGCCCCTCCGAATGCTTACGAGTCTCAACGGATGTTGAAATTGTTTTCATAGTTGTTTATTCCTACCGCAAACTTAGCAATCTCCTGGATGCGATAGTTATGTATGTTCTCTATCGGCTGCCACCCACCGTAGGGACTAGCACTGACGGTGGAGAGAACGACTGCGACGGTAGTCAGAGCCACGAGAAATGTAACAGGCTTCATCTTTCGTACGGAAGTGATTCTTCATGTGATTTTGTTTAGGAAGATTTTTTATTGGTGTGTGTTTTGGATGTGAAGCAAGACTAATTGTGGTTTGTATTTATAGGCTATAGTTGAGCTAATCGATTTCTTTCTTTCATTTTTTTTTTTGGTCTTATGCTAAAGTTGTCTATTTTTAGTTATGTATCCCGTTATTATAGATGGTTGGTATATTTTTTTGCAATTTTTATGCGTAAATTTCTGATTATAATATGGCCTAAATTTTAGTAAATCAGACAAACAATTTTATAGCCCTTGAAAATGGGGAACTATACGACTTTGTCTGAAAAGCATAGTATATGTACAAAAAAAGAAAATTTCAACCCTCCAAATACGCAGAGTTCATCGACCAACTAGTTACCCTTTATATTATTAGAACAAGAAAATTTGAGTACTTAAATACAAGAATTCACATCATATAGAAATGGAAGCTTTATATTGTTCTTCCGTTTGAGTATATTATCAAATTGATGGTTTTATTTGAATCTCAGAAATTTATATCATATGTCACGTACGCATTTCGTCATTAAAGATGACGATGATTATTGATTTTTTTATTGTTATGATTATTAACCAGTAATTAAAAGTGGCAATTCTGAATATATCTAAAATGGAGAACTAAAGAAGCATATGTATGCATGGAGAACCACTTGTAGTTCGACGGTAACATGATAATGCTCCAATGGTTATGTATGTGTAAGTTCCAACAGTTTGTTGTGAGTACAATTTGGTGCTGTCTAAAATGATACGGATCTACAAAATATAAAAGGCAAAATATGGGTTGGAATTCTCCTATTTTAAATGTTGTGGCCTGAGAGTGATTCTAGGCAGCAGGGGCGGAGCTACTTGGAAGGTAGGGTGGGCACCGGCCCCTTGGGATTAGTTTGATCCGAGCCCCCAGGACCTTAAGGATATTTAGATAAAATTTGAATAAGTAGGACTCGTCCAGAATATTAGTTTATACAATTATCATGTAGTCTACTGGTAGTTAATCTAGGTTTTAGCCTGGAGCACCCATGTTCAATTCATCACTAATTCATTACTCACATTTTGCTTTATTTTGAGTGATTTCAATGATTTTTAGACTATATTGAAAGAAAGGTAGCAAAACATTTAGTTTAGATGCTATTTTGAGTAATTTTTCAATAATTTCGAAGAACGTTGTATACTTTTAAAATAATTATTTTGTTTTTATTTACATTTAATTATTTTCGGCCCACCCGGTGTAGAAATCCTGGCTCTGCCCCTGCTAGGCAGGTTATTTTGTCATTGCACTCGGTTCATGTTTATATATTAAAAATGTTATCATTGGAGTTCTAACATTGGTCACTTAAATGATGAAAGAGTATTATAACCAACTAGACTACATTTTATTTATTGTTATTTTTTTTATTAAACTCTAGGAATATGTTTGGTGATGATACTTCTATATTTATATTTTATCTTAAGTTATTTATATTTTTGTATAATATATAAAGGCAAAACATGGGTTGAAATTTCAGCGATTAGAATTTCCAGGCCTGTGAAATTTTCACGAAAAGATAATTTGGACAATTTACCTATCATTTAAATGAAACTTTGCGTTTTGATCTCTTCCCATTGATCCTCCTTTCCCGTTGCTGCCAATTACTAGGCCTAATATAAAACTTCAAATGGGCCCGGAATTAGTTGGTCCATTCACATTTAATTTCCTCATTTCAAAATTAATAACAAATTATCAATGTTGGTTGTCATAAACCAGTTGGTCCCAATAACTCGAGTTGTTGGGAGAAGGTTATGCTGGATCTTATACAGGCCCGTGTATGGTGCTTAACCACTTCCTTACACGCCCCCTCAAACGAAAGCCGACTCATGGGCTTGAAGTTTGCACAGGCCCGCCATACCATGTGCTTGAAAGACAACGGTTAATATTGGGGGTCGTGAGGACTTGAACACGTGACCTCACGGACAACCAGGCTCTGATACCATGTAGAATTTGATGACGCGGAATTGAAAAGAACACAGAACACGAGAGTTTTACGTGGTATCCTCGATCGATTGATTGATCGAGACTAATCCACGGTGAGCTCGGAAGAGCTCACGACTGATCTCTTATTAGATTTACATTGTGACGGCTTGCTATCACACAAGTCGATAGCTAAGCTTATATAGATAAACTTAGGGTTAAAACCCTAATCCAACGAATCAGACGAGGCCCAACAAGGCCCAATACTAACACGGTTTAAGTAACCGCAACACTCCCCCTCAAGCGAAGACATGAATGACAAGAATGTCGAGCTTGAAGAAGTAAACGTGAAGAACAAGCATGATGACTTGAACCACAAAACTCGAGATGAATAACATCTCGGACGAGGTTGATTGGAGATGACTGACTCTCTCTGAACAACCTGATGATGGAGACGATTGACTGCGTCTCTTGAACTTGAACACACTTGGTACATCGCGATCGACCTAATGACTGAGTTAGTCGATCGACGTATGTTGACCTCCTATTCTCCCCCTCAAGCTGGAGCATGAACAACGTGAATGCGCAGCTTGAAAAGCGATGAATGGTTGATATGTGTCCATTAATGAACCGGAAGAGGGGACGACCATTTCTTAGATCGTGAATGCCAGCTGGACGATAAAGGGACGATGACTTCTCTGATCGTACTACCTTTTGAACGCCAGAGGACGACCATTTTATGGAACGTGAATGCCTCGATCGATACTTGACTATCTTTGCTTGCAGAAGTTCTCTATCACTCAAACAATGACAAGTGAAGGATCAACCAAGCTTTGGATTGAAAATACTTCACTTCTTTTGTGCTTAAGGATTTTCTTGCCTGCAAACAAAAAAATAACTGGCCAACGGCCACTGATGTTGCAATAAAACCTACGGAGCGCAAAAAATTGATTTGGCAGCCCATTAAAGCTCTTCCCCAAAACAATTGTTGAGCCCATAATGGCCACTTCGCAACACTTAAAGTGTGAATGGATGCAGGCCCAATTTTGGACTTAGAACGGTCCATTCGTGGGTGAGGACTGATGACGGCCCGAAAGGGGAAACCCTTCTGCCTCTTTGGTGATGACGGCTCACCCGAACATCAGCAACATCTCTTCTGTGGCGAAGCTATCGGCGGCGACGATAGCAGAACGGCGGGAGCTCGGAGATGGAGCAATGGCGGCCCTGTTTGACTATCCAATTCAATTTAATTCGTCGTTCGCCGGGTCTGATGGTGCCGGAGGTGGTGACGAAAGTGGCACCGTGATCTGGTGACGACGATGACAATCACAGCCGAGACGTTGACGGCGGTGACGGCTGAAAGGAATTCGCCATGGCTTATTCGGATGGTGCCTTGCGACGACTTTGACGGGTGATGAACTCTCTGGAGACATAGGTACGGCAGCAGCAGAGTACCTGAAGCATGGACTTTGACTTGGAGACAAAGAGTTGGCTCTAGTGATGACAAGAGCGTCGTGGCTGACCAAAACGATGGCGAGGGCATAGCGATGCCGCGACGAAAGCTCGATTCTCGGTCCAACGTATCTTGTGAGTTGCACCAGCTGAACGAAAGCTACGACCACGCCGTGATTTGACGAAGAAGCCTGCGGCAACTGGATAAGAAGGACTCGACGGCTTCTGTTGGCGATGATGATGACGACGACCCAAGGCGGACTGGACTTCGCCTCGATCAACCGAACGTGTGGAGAGCGAGACTGCTCATCCTAATCGACAGCGGAGATCTTTTGGACGGATTTGGGAGATCAACGATAAATAACCCCAACAATTGCCGATTGATGAACCACGGCGGAATGGACTTCGCCTAGGTTGACTATGCTCAGCTGAATAACATCGCTGGCGAACAAAACAAGCCAGCGGGATGAACATCGCTTGTGGTTCAAGTCATCATGCTTGTTCGTCACATTTCCTTTTTCAAGCTCGACATTCTTGTCACTCATGTCTTCGCTTGAGGGGGAGTGTTGAGGATATTAATTATTTAGTAAAAAATAATTAATTCCTTGTCCTCCTAGTTCCTTGTTTCCTTGTCCTTGTCAAAGAAGGAAACCTGGTTGTCATTAGGGTTTTAACCCTAAGTCTCTCTATATAAGCTTATGTCATAAACCAGTTGGTCCCAATAACTCAAGTTGTTGGGAGAAGGTTATGCTGGATCTTATACAGGCCCGTGTATGGTGCTTAACCACTTCCTTACACGCCCCCTCAAACGAAAGCCGACTCATGGGCTTGAAGTTTGCACAGGCCCGCCATACCATGTGCTTGAAAGACAACGGTTAATATTGGGGGTCGTGAGGACTTGAACACGTGACCTCACGGACAACCAGGCTCTGATACCATGTCATAAACCAGTTGGTCCCAATAACTCGAGTTGTTGGGAGAAGGTTATGCTGGATCTTATACAGGCCCGTGTATGGTGCTTAACCACTTCCTTACATTGTTATAATCTACCGATCGGCAAACGGTGCCAACGGCTAGCCGCTCGAGCCGCCCAACCAATTTTCAGCACTCCATTCGCCCATTGAATGACAATCTGGTCGCGCTTTGGAGATCTGGATTCTCGACATTGAAACAGAAAATCGAGAGTTTAGGAAGATGAAACAGACAGAAGGATGGAAGGGAACAGTCATTCTGGTGAAAATTTTGAAGAACTCAACCCGTCGAAGGAAAAGTTGGAGGATAGATGAGTTGGAGTTACATTTTTGTCATTGTTTGCCAAGGATGAGGGGAAGAATTAGAAAACATTTCTCTTGTTGCGGAATTTTAAAAATCTGTACATTTTAGTTATCGTGGAATCATAAGATATTGGTGATATTTTGCTTCAAATTTATTGAAGTTGATTTACGATCCTGCTCTATTTTGTGCTTATTAAGTGAATTTGGAACATACGAGGCATCATATCAAATTTGGGACTAGCAATTTAGGTCCTTTATTTGTGGCTATCAATCCGCAATGTGCATTTTCAAATCATATAATTTCATATTTATAACCTTTGTAGCGATCAACAAAGATGATAAATACTTAAAAACATTTTGATGGATATATGACTATATCAAAGATCAATCATAAATGCTTTCTTATAAACATGTATATCTCTATTAGTTGCATATTATTGTTATTTACACGCAATATAAGTGGTAGCAACACATACAAATAGGGCTGGATTTTGGTCGGTTCGGTTTAACCAATAACCGAAGGATCTGTTTTTGGTTAACCGAGCGACCCTCTACTAACTACCAAACCGACGTGGCGCACTCGGTTCATCGCATAACCGACCGATCGGTTATCGATTATAACCGCGGTTAACCGAGTTTAATAAAACTGAAATTGTGGTTGGTTTTTGGTTAGTTAAAACCGATAACCGAATGGTAACCCAATCGACGAGCAACCTGACCTGCTTAAAATCCATGAAAAATCACCTACATTGAAGCATAAAACTACATCTAAATCACTCAAATTAGCGTCTCAAATCCAACAAGTGACCACCCCAAATTTTCGGTGGGGGGGGGGGGGCATTTTCAGTTTGATTTGAGGAGGGGGGAGGCCGATTAATGGATTTTCGGTGGTGGTCGCTTAACCGTCTTCGGTTATGCGGTTAACCGACCACCCCAAATTCCCTGTCGACCACCGACCGGAGCCCCTCATCCATCGGTTTTCGGTTAGCCATTAACCAATGGTTTTCGGTCATAATCGTCGGTTAATCGCTAACCAAAAATCAAATGGCCAGCCCTACATACAAAATATAAGAGAATCAAACTCACCCGCCCACCGGGCCAGACACATTGTTAGGAAATTTGAAATTATATATTTTTTTTTTGTAGCAACATATCTTAAAAGCAATCTTATGTTCATACATCTTTCTTATTTGAATTCATTTCATTGAAAAAAATTATATTGGTTGTAGGAAAATTACTACATTATCGTTGCGTTGGTCATATATTCATTGTGAGAGTAATTTGGAAATTCACCCGTACATAATGCATTGTCCAGCTAACCATTAGTGACAATTTCGATTATGTCCGATATTTTTCAAATCCTAAAACTTCATATCTATTGCCTGCACTGTAATCAACAAGGATGTTGTCTATTGGAATAAACAATATAGAGAGATATTGAACTCTATTAGAGATCAATCATTTTCTTTTATCATTTAAGTTGATTATATATGTATTATGCGAAGCAACTTTAATATTCAACTATATGGCCCACTTATTCTTTTCATTGAACAATTATATTTATCATATTTCTATTCTTCTCATTATATTGTAAGTATATTATGCATGACAGGATGACCATAAAAAAATCACATTATGCATCATTGGACATAACTAAGGTAAAAAAATACATATTGCATGCATTTATGAGCATTTATCATATCACTTATATAAATATTATTTTTCCAGTCTAAATTTTTTCCGACCAACTGGTCGGGCACAACGCTAGTATAAAAATAAAGAAAAAGTGTCGATTAAGGTGCACACAAATGCATTTTTTCGGATTTGGTCCAATTTAGTTTTTTGCCTCTGTTTTAAAAGATTTGATAAATAAAAAAGATTCGGATTGTATTTGATTCTATCCCGTTCAATCAAATTATCTACTCGACCGCTATGAATTGCTTCCAGTTTAGTGGTCGTAAAAAAAGAGTTTTTATTTTATAATTAGTCTTTTATGTGCAAAAGAATTATGAGCCTTTATAAACCAATTCGAATGGAAAAATTAATCAACAATCATAGACTCGACTTTTAAACATGTTAGGTTTTTCCCCAACTCCGTGATTTAGTTGAATTTTAAATAATTAGCCACCACTCCGACTCTCCGAGTAGGATTCTTTTCCTAAATACTTTCTAACCAAATCAATCTCATCACTATTTGTCCTTTCAAGGATTCCTTACATGTAACATTTTTTAGACAGTAATTTCTGAAGTTTCCGCAAAGGAAACACGACACCATGGATAGCTTCTGGGACAGGAACACAAAATACTTCCACTCCAAAACAATGAGCCGACGAAGAAGGAATCAAGTATCTCTACTGAAAAATAATGAAGGCGAATGGATTGATGAACCGACGCTCCTCCTTGAGTTAGCCCGGGTTTTCTTCTCGGCATTGTATACAGATGACAGAACTGCAACGGGCATTATTCTAGCAGGCTTTGAAGCTCTCACAGGACAGCTATGGGAGCCACTCACAACCCAATTCACGGCGGAGGAGATTCACACTGCAGTCCGACAAATGGGTCCATTGAAAGCGCCGGGCAAGGACGGCTTGAACCCACTCTTCTACCAGCGGTGTTGGGATTTGGTCGGCCGAGTTGTTTGTGATTTTGTGCAAGAGTGTTGGCTGCACCCGGCCAAAATCAGGGCTATTAACGAGACTATTATTGCACTAATACCAAAGGTGCAACGTCCCGTCACCATCGATCAGTTCCGTCCGATCAGTCTTTGCAATGTGGCGTATAAGATGATTACAAAGTGTTTGGCGGAGAGGATTAAGCCGATCATGCCGAGACTAGTGCATGCTACACAGACGAGTTTCGTCCTTGGGAGGCATATTACTGACAATATCTGTATTTTGTAGGAAGTAGTGCACTCGATGCGAGCGAAGCGTGGGCGCGTAGGATGGATGGTGCTAAAAATTGACTTGGCAAAGGCGTATGATAGAATTAAATGGAGCTTCGTTCGTGACACACTGCAAGGTGCGGGGGCTCCGGAGAAATTCATAGAGTTGACGATGAGTTGCATCACGTCCTCGACCATGCAGATTCAGTGGAATGGTGGTCTGACCGAGTCATTTACCCCATCTAGAGGCCTCAGACAGGGTTGCGCGCTATCTCCGTACATCTTTACTCTCTGTATGGAACGACTTGGTCATCTTATTTCGGCGGCAGTTGCTCAGGGGGATTGGAAACCAATCAAGCTGACGGGACATGGCCCTGCTTTTTCACACTTATTCTTCGTCGACGACTTAATCCTCTTCAGTGAAGCTTCTTTGAAACAGCCGGCGGTGATTAATCATTGCCTTGAGAGATTTGGGATGGCTTCTGGACAACAGGTCAGCAGACAGAAGTCGAGGGTGTTCTTATCTAGTAATGTACAAGCAGCATCATGTACGACATTGAGTGCAGACCTAGACATACCGGAAACAAAGAATTTGGGTCGCTATTTGGGTATGCCAGTAATCCATGATAGAGTTTCGAAGACAACTTATACTGAGTTAATTGATCGCATCGATAGACGGCTAGCAGACTGGAAAGTTAATTCCCTTTCAATGGTGACCCGGATTACCCTCGCGCAATCAGTTCTAGCTTCACTACCGGCCTATACAATGCAAACAACGTTTCTCCCTGCTGCGGTAAGGGATTACATTGACAAGAAGATTCAAAATTTTATTTAGGGGATTTCTGGCCAAGGTAGGAAGATTCATCTAATCGATTGGGAGACGGCTTGCAAGCCGAAGGAGGAAGGGGGTTTAGGGGTACGTAGTGACACCCGGATGAACGAGGCGTTCATGATGAAGATCGCTTGGCGATTGATGAAGGAACGAGAAAGTCTTTGGGCTCGTGTGATACGTTCTAAATACCTAAAGGGGACGCAAGACGGATGGAAGCCGGGGACAGATGGGAGGATGTCAAATTTATGGAGGGGTGTGCTACGCATTCTTCACCTTCTACCCCAAGGAACCATGTGGACTATTCGGAATGGTAGGACAACCTTGTTCTGGGAAGATGTGTGGCTGTTTGATGACCCTCCCTTGGCTGACTTTGCTATTAATTTACCGGAGGAGGCGAGGAAGTTAAAAGTAGCAGAGCTAGTGCTCAATGGGGAATGAAATATGGATTTTGTGAGGGCATTTATTCCGGAGGAGATCGCGTAGCAGCTGCAGCTACATCCTACTCCATTTGAAGAAGGTAACGATTCACCTTGTTGGCGGCTATCCTCGTCGGGTGAGTTCTCCATTAGCATGCTTATACTCTGACTCGTGACGAGGAGACAGCGAGTGCCACGAGCCCACTTTGGAAGCAGGTTTGGAAGATCCCAGGGCCGCAATGCATCCGTCCTTTCTTCTGGTTAGTCATCCATTAACAACGCAATTTCACAGAGAATGATTGAAGAAGGAAAAGTGATTTCCCTTCTCTCCTTCCTTTCATATATATCTCAGTTCCTCATTACAGGATAGGAATGCCAGCTTGGGCTACAATGCCAGCTTAGGCAGTAAAACAGAGTAAACAGTGAAAATTGAACAAACAGTAAATAAAGTTGTTATCGACCGTTGAGGAAGCACGTGGTCTGCACGTGAGTCTATCCACCTTTTGCTGACTCTGATGACTCGGATTGAAAATGCAGATTTTGATCCTATATAGCTGTTACCCCCCCGCAAGCTGGAGGGCAAAGGTTGAGCACTCCAAGCTTGGACATAAGAGAATCAAATGGTGCTGGAGA